ATACATATACATATATGCATATACATGTATATGTGTCTAGATATATGTCTACATATACACATGCATATGTGTTCATGTGTGCATGTATGTTTATGTCCACATATATGCATGTGTATATGTACAGATATATATGCCTATATATCTGCACACATGTATATATGTACATATAGGTATATATGTCTATATGTGTGTACTTACACACACGTGTATGTATATATATATGTATATATGTACTTGGAAAATTTTACAGTTTTGGAAAAGATAGGTAAGCCTCTTGATCTGTTTCTGCTTTGGACACAGTGCTCCAACTTAGAGAAAAGAACTGAAGTCAGCAGATATGCACATGTGTGTTGAGCTGTGGACCAGTTATGGGAACTGGGAGAGAAGTGTCTTCTGGTGCTAGGGGCCAGGACCCACTCCCAACCTCGTATTAACATCCTTGTAGATATCCTAATTCCTAGTGCCCCACCAACATTGAATACTTCCAAATCTTGGTCTTGGTGCACAGCCCTGGTGAAAACTGGCCAGCACATTCAGTGGCCAGGACAGGGACTGGCCATTTCTACAACCTCCCTTTGTTGCCCTGTACCGTTGTCCAGTCTTTATCCCACTGCTGCTGGGCGCCTTCCTGGAGGAATAGTCGTCTGGCTTAATAGATGCCTAGTGTGAGCCCCTGAGAGGTGAGTCAGAGTGGGTGTCCCCACTCAGGCCTTCCAGGGTTCCTGGGGTTCCTGTCCTCTCAGGAGCACATACTGTGTGCTTGCAGAGAACTTACCCTCCTTCATCAGCCACAACTTTTGCTCCTGTGGCCTGGAAGTCTTGCTTGGAGGTGTGAACCTCCTGGGGCACAACCCGCCCCTCATTTCCTTGGCCACTGCTTGCATATGCTTCCATACGCCCTGGAAATACACCTACCCCGTTCCTGACCCTTGCTTCCATGGTGCCTCCTGCAGTCACAAACCATTTCATAGGCTTGCACATATGCACAAGCCTCGGTCGAGGCCCAGGCAGAGCAGCTGTACCCGCGGGAAGAGGGAGAGCTCCTGACCAGAGCCCCTAGGGCATGGCTGTGAAGCCCTAGCACCTTGCATTTTCTGCCCTCTTTGGGACTAGGTTGGGCTGAGCAGGAATGTACAACCTTTTAACACTGAGACATGACATTGTCACCTACAGAGTTCACAAGCAAGAACCGTGTGATTGTGTTATAATAACAAAATCACACACACATACTCTCTTGACACACATCCATTCTGTCTCTCTCTGTCTCTCTCTCTCTGTCTCTGTCTCTCTCTCTCTCTCTCTCTCTCTCTCTCTCTCTCTCACACACACACACACACACACACACACACACACCTTATGCTTTAAGTCAGTTTCTGATTGCATCCATAGCTGTCCTCGGCCACATGCAGCTCACAGGCTGCGGGATGGATAAGCCTGCTACAGTGTGTGACTCAGAAGCCAAGCATGTGACTTCATGCTGTTCTCTTCACCTCTGACCCTCTTTCCAAGATAATAATAAAGACAGCAGGGTACCTCCTCAGAGGGGCTTGGGTCAGTGAAGTGAGCTAATTCTGCCTCCTTTTCCCAGGTCCCAGCATAGAGCTTCCTCCCCCCCTCCCCTCCACTTCCCTGATCCTCTTTACACACACACACCTGACCCTGCTGGAGAGAACCAACCCTTCTTCCGCCTCCCTGTTTATTTCCAACAGACATTGGGTCATGCCTGTAGCTGACCTGAATCACTTCTGTACAGGGTCACAGAGCCATGACCCTGCTCCCCACCACGCTCCCCACCCCACTCCTCACCCCATCTCTGCCCTGGCCTCCACCGTGTTCCCCACCCTTCTTTGCCCTGTGTGCACCTGAAACATTTGCTTCTTCCCTTCCCCCCTGGTTCCATACCCAATAACAAGTGGGCTCCCAGGCTCTGTTGCTTTGTTCACGTGGCCCCTGCTATGCAGAAGCTCAGGGCACAGATCCGAGCGTGCCATCATGAGACCCTCTTGGCCCACTGCTCTCCTCACTGCAGCCATGATCACCTGCTCTGCCTGGATGGAGGGGGCGTGAAAGGCCTGATCATCACCCAGCTCCTCATTGCCATCGAGAAGGCCTCAGGTGTGGCCACCAAGGACCTCTTCGACTGGGTGGCAGGAACCAGCACCGGGGGCATCCTGGCCCTGGCCATTCTGCACAGTGAGCATAGCCTTTGGGGTATGGTGGGATGGGCAGGTGGGCCATCTGCCCTCATAGGTTGGGGTACAGAGCTAGTTTAGGAGGGTATTATGTCTTGGTGGTCTTCAACCACCTCCACACTCCTGCAAGCCAGAAACCATAGAACCTGCCAGCTTCTGCCAGTTCAAAAGCCTTTGATGGAGTGGGCATTTCTGGGGTAATGAGTGAGTTGCAGGATGCCAGAGTCCTGGGCTGTTTAGACAGTCAAAACTCTGGCTGGGAAGAGGCACATGGCACAACCGTGGGAGTACCCAGGCCAGAGTATCCCCTAGACTCTCAGTCCATCACCCCCAGGCCACTAGCCTGCCTCCTTTGATCTAGGTTTGCAGAAGTACAGACATTTGGTTAGCTGGAGTTTGCCACATAGGGCCAGCAGCATTGCCATTCAAGTGGCCTGGCATCTGTCTCCTCTGGGGAGTGATTGAGCTTGAGTCCTGGCTTCAGGAGGCTCCTGGTGAGACAGCAATACAGGCACCTGGGCATCTGCTGGGCACTGGGGTGAGGCCATGGGGTCAATCTAGGGACTTTCGGGAATATGGGTATACCCATCCCAGGGAGCTGTCAGGGGCCATTCCCTGCGGGGCTCTGTTTGGAGCTGCGGGGGCTCGGCCATCAGCAGCGATCTATCCGCAGATGCTTCATTCAGGAGATGATTGTCACCCTGGCTCTGTGGGGTGAGCGCAGAGGGACTCTGATAACCATGATGTCACGCTGCAATCAGACCAGAACCAGGGCTGTCTTCAAGGAGTCAGCCCAGCTCTCCCGAGTCCCTCCTGGCCTGTGAGAGGAGAGCTACCTCAGAACCTGCTCTACCCATAGTGCATGGCGTCTTCCTGCAGAACAGGCAGAGGTCCCAGCCCAGCCTCAGATGGGAAGACCTGAGGCTGGAGTGAGAAGTGCCCAGTTAGCCTCAGACAGGCACAGTCCTGCTTCAGCGGGCCCCTCTGCTTGCACACCCTGGGCTCTAAGGAGCTTGTGAGATGCCTGGGCACCTCCTCCCCCATAGCCTGTCTGGCCCACAGACTCAGAAGACAGCCTGTTCCTCTTTCACTGTGACAGGGAAATGGGACTAACTTCTGTGCCATTTTGTATCCTCGAGGCTCTTTTTAGTAATACAGATTTAAGTAGCGAGCCCTGTAAGGGGCTTTCTGCTTGTATGGCCAGGTTTTATAGAAGGGCCTAGAAGTTCATGTTGACAGATTTCCTCCTTCACCACCTCCTGCCAGCGCCTGCCCATGCTTCCTGAAGCTTGCAGCTGCTTAGCATGCTGTCATCCCACAGGGGCCTGCACATCACCCTAGGGTCTCCAACTCCTCATGTTTTCTTTCTAGGTAAGTCCATGGCCTATATGCGTGGTGTGTACTTCCGAATGAAGGACGAGGTGTTTCGGGGCTCACGGCCCTATGAGTCTGGGCCCCTGGAAGAGTTCCTGAAACGGGAGTTTGGAGAACATACCAAGATGACAGATGTCAAAAAACCCAAGTAAGCCATGTTCCCCACCTGCCCAAATCTGGGGAACAGGCCAGCACTTCATCCCATCTAGATGAGAGACCCCTGAGAACATGGGGAGACTGTCTGCATGAATGGAGAGGAGAGGGACCGGGAGGGTCAGAGCTGGGTGGCCTGGAGCTTCCTGGAGAGAGCAGGGCCTGCTTCCTCCAAGCCAGCTGGACCACTTTGGCAGACGTAATGAACTCCTTAACCTTTCGTGGGATATTGTCACACTAGACCGTGCTTGTTCCCTGACCCGTCACGTGGCATCTTTGCTGGACCAGCTCGGCAGTGCCCATGGAGGGGAAGGAGGAGGGCCACCCCAGGGCAGCTGGAAGAGAAGTAAACTAAACAGCAGGCAGGGAAGCTGCTAAAGAGGCCCCAGAAGAGCCTGCAGTGTGCCACGGCTCTGAAGACAGGCCTGCAGCAAGGCCCATATCCTTGGCCAGGCTATGAGCTTAAAAAGGCAGGAACATGGCAGCCTTGGTCTCTGCAGCCCTGGCCTCTAGCACAGACAGGCCATTGGACGGTGTCTGTCAACCTGCTGAGTGACTAGGAGCAAGAGAGGAGGGAGGAAAGGGAGCGTGAGCAAGGCCCAGCAGCTTAGGGTTGTTTTTTTCCAGCAGGAGGGTTGTTTCTTCCTTCTTTCTTTTTAGCTTTTTGAGACAGGCTCTAGTTGTATGGCTTTGGCTGTGAGCTATTGTCTAGATTAATGACTGATACGAAGGGGCACAGTCCACTGTGGAAGGTGGCACTCAGTTGGATGAGAAAGCAGGCTGAGCAAGTCAGCAAGCCGTGCCTAGCTTCCCCGAGAGCTGTAACCTGAAATTACCCTGTCCTCCACGGTGTTTCTCACAGTTTCTGTCATCTTAACTGAGATGTGTAGTAGATTCAGTTCTGAAGTTCACTGTTCAAGTTTGAAAACCTATCTAAGTATGAGAGGGGAACCCTGGAGTCCCCCCACGATTAGTTTTTCAGGGCCTATGTGGTATTTTATGTATATTAGTGTTTATGAAATTAGGGACTCTAATATTTGGCACATAGTTGCCGTCTGTTGTCTCCCTTGGAGGCAGTTGGTCTCCTCTGTGTAGATTCTGCCCGTTGCTAGCCTGCTCCGTGTTAGGATGCAGATGTTGCAGATGTGGATTCTTCTGTTATGTTCGTGTGCTCTGCCAGGGTTTGCCCTGGCATCTTTCAGGTTTTGGAATCCTGAGTCATCACTTTAACTTTTTTTTTAAGTTTTTTTTTTTATTATGTATACCTCCATGTATGCAGGCACCCCAAAAGAGGGCACCAGATATCATTACAGGTGGTTGTGAGCCACCATGTGGTTGCTGGGAATTGAACTCAGAACCTCTGGAAGAGAGTCAGTGCTCTTAACCTCTGAGCCATATCTCCAGCCCAAATAACAATTTTTTTTTTCAAGACAGGATTTCTCTATAGATTTGGAGCCTGTCCTGGAACTAGCTCTTGTAGAGCAGGCTGGCCTTGAACTCACAGAAATCCTCCTGCCTCTGCCTCCCAAGTGCTGGGATTAAAGGCTTGCGCCACCACCACCCAGCTCATTACTTTAATTAACTTTTGTCTCTGCTAGCTCATTACCCTCCCGCCCGTCTCTCTCCTTGTGTGTTTTTCCTCTGTAAATTAGGTTAAGCTCGTATTAAATGCATACTTATTGTCTCTAGATCTTTTAACTTCTCTTGCATTTTCTTTTTTAAATTTTTAACATTTATTTTAGAGAGAGAGAGACAGAGAGAGAATGAACGTGAACGTAGAGGTCAGAGGACAAGTTTAGGATTGTTTCCTTCCAGCAGGTTGGTCTTAGGTTGTCGGGACTTGCAGCCAGCTGAGCCAGCTAATCAGCCAGCCCTCTCTTAAATTTTCTACCTTCTTTCTCCCCTTTTTTTCTTTTTTCTTCTTTTGAGACAGGATTCACTATATAACTCTGGCTTTCCTGGCAGGCTGGCCTCAAACTCACAGAGATCCACCTGCTTCTGCCTTCCAAGTGCTGGCACTAAAGGTGTGTGCCACTGTGCCCACCTTCTACCATTTGATCTCTTTGTGGTGCAGTCTGGTTAGTTTCTTACCTATTTTCCAGTCCACTGATTCTCTCTGTTGCTTGGTTATTTAACCTATCTGCTGATTTAAAAAAAAAAAAAAAGTTCATGTATATGTACATATGGGTGTGCATCCCCCACCAAAAAAAAAAAAAGCACTCTTTGGTCTTCAAAGTCATTACCTGTAATCTCCTGTCCCCCCCAAATATCACGAGGCTTGCTCTGCAGTCCCTGCTCAGTGACAGAGTGCTTGCTTAGTGTGCTCCCAGCATTGCAGGACAACAGAGATGTTAGGACGCCTGCATTTGTTGTTTGCTGTTCTGCACACAGCAGCACTGTGGTCCGTTGCAGCCCGTGCATGTGCTTTGCCATCACTAATCTGCCTTGACTGAGTGGCTGTCTTCCGTCACTTAGCTCTGTTCCCAGCTCTCATGGCGATCTCTCCTGTGTGCCCCTCCCTGTTGGGATGTTTCCTGTCTGCCCTGCTTCTTAGTGTGAAAATCAGATTCTTTGAAACTCAGAGTGGCCCTCCCTGCAGAGGGTTCTGTGCCATCTCCCAGGTATGCAGACTTGCCACCATCGCTGCCACTTTCATTGACTGGGTGGTTGTCATGGGAACTCTGACTTTCCCCAAGTGATGTGGACACAAACTAGGAGTTCACAGGCAGGCTGGAAAGTCTCCCATTAGACCTTTGGTGGATTTTGGCCCTCGTGTATTCATCTTGTCAGGGGTCCCATCCTTTTAAGCAATATTTATTTTTTTCATTGTGAATGTGGATGGGTGTGGATGCCCTCAGAGGCCATGGATTCCCTGGCGCTGGAGTTACAGGTGATTACGAGCCTCCTGACATAGTTGCTGAGAACCAAACTTGGATCCTCTGTAAAAGCAGGAGATACGCTAAACCACCCAGCCGTTGTCAGCTCCTCTCAGGCTTTTACGACTAAAATCGGGCTGGAGAGATGACTCAGTGGTGAAGAGCACTGGCCGTTCTTCCAGAGGACCGGGTTCAAGTCCCGTCCTTCACTGACACACGTATGCTGCTATTGCAGTTAGATCAACTCTGTGACAGAGTACACAGGGTGGCTAGCTGCCGTGGTGCTGAGAGCGGCCGGATGAATGTCCTCTCCAGGGAGGGGACTGGAGCTCACAGAACCAGGCCTCTGCAAGGATCTGAACACACCCTAGTTTCCCAGAGCCTATGCCTGGGCTTTTTATGTCCCAGGGTTAGGAGGAACCTTCCTTTCTATTGTTAGTTTATGTGTGTGAATGTTTTTCCTGCGTGTGTGCCTGTGGACTACATACATGCGTGGTGCCTGCAGAGCCCACAGAGAGCCTCAGATCCCCTGGCCTAAAGTTATAGATGGTCACGAGCCGTCCTGTGGGTTCTGGGCCCTGAACTCAGGCCCTCTTAAAGAGCAGCAGGTGCTCCTAACTGCTGAGCTGTCTCTCCAGCCCCAGCATGCAGCCTGCTGACTGCTCTCAGCGGCCTTTCAGTGCCGGCTTCTACCCAGCTGAGTAGTTACACTGTTGCCTTGTTTTTAAACCGCTGGCAGCACGCTGAAGGCTCTGCCCCAAACCTTGCTTTTCCTTACCTCCCCTCTATCTTGGCATTCATGCCTCCCAGTAAGTCCCATCTTGGGTGTTCTTCATTGGCCCTGCACTCGGCCGGCACCCTTGGAGTAAGGAGTCGCAGCGTTATGGCAGCTGGCTTGCCAATGGATAATGATATTCCTGGTCATCTATTTTAAAACAGATGCTGCCATTGGTTCTGAGCAGCCTGTCTGCTGTCCTGGCGACCTTCTGGGGTGGGTGAGTTTCCAGAGTGGGCTTATTGGATAGAGTGAAACACCTGTGAGTAAGGCAGGCGCCATTGGCCAGATTCCCTCTGAATCCGCCCCAGGTTCACAGGAGATGCCAGGGAGAAGCCCACTACGAACAGGGTCCAGGGCATGACCCTGGATAGGAGCTGATGGGCGGCAGGGCCAGCTCTCCTCTGTTGCTTCCTACAGGGTGATGCTGACGGGGACACTATCTGACCGACAGCCAGCGGAGCTCCACCTATTCCGGAATTACGATGCACCAGAGGCCATTCGGGAACCTCGCTTCAACCAAAACATTAACCTGAAGCCACCGACTCAGCCTGCAGGTCAGAGCCAACTGTTTGCTGTGTCCATGGGAAGAGCTAGCTGAGGCTGGAAGGGGGTAGGGAGTCACAGACGGGGCACTGGACGCCCTCCCACCCACATCGCCATCTTGGCTGGCTAAGGACAGCTGTTGCTGGAGGCTGTTAGGAGCAAAGAGGCCCCGGGAAGTCCACAGTGACAAACAACCGTTCATCGGGATGGCAAGACCCAGCAGCAAGGCCTTATGGGTCCTGTTTCTAAGACTTCCTAGTTCCCCTCTTCCTGTACTGAAGGGACAGGTCTTATGTCATTGAGTCACGCTCTTTTCCCACCCCTAGACCAGCTGGTATGGCGGGCAGCCCGGAGCAGTGGGGCAGCCCCAACCTACTTCCGGCCCAACGGACGCTTCCTGGACGGTGGGCTGCTGGCCAACAACCCCACGCTAGATGCTATGACTGAAATCCATGAGTACAATCAAGACATGATCCGCAAGGTGAGGGCATCACCATACACCGCTGATGAGAACAGGCCGCTTTGACACGTCTTTGCCCGTTTACAACCTTCAGCAACAGTCATATCTCTCACTGGGCCTCTCTGATGGGTACTGTCCGCGGTAGGAGACTTCTGAGGCCCCATCCACGCTGAGTGCAGCGAAGGCTGTGGTCAGGGCTCACACCTGCTGGGAGCACCTGCTGGGAGTGGGGAGGGCAGTGTACAGCGGCTCGCCTGGTGCTACCCGGCTGGGCACGCTCTTGCCTTGCAGAACTTACATCCTGCTTAGAGACGCCATAAACAGGAGACTCTCCTGTATGTGTCGAAGGCAGGAGGAGGAGGGGGCCTGTGTGGGAGAACTGAGGTCTGGGCAGGGCTCCTGAGCGTGGAACCTGTCCTGAGGCAATGAGCCAAGGGCAGGCAGTGGCCCCCAACCAAGTCGTGAGAGCAGGGTAACAAGGCCTGTGCGCCAGGAGAAGTGGAGCAGCGCTGTGGGGAGCTGGCCCTGCCCCATTCCTCACTTCCACTAGTAGCAGTGCCTGTGTGAGTGCCCTGGGCACTTGGGATGCCATCGCTGTGCGGTGCTGCAGAGGCACCGAAGTCCAGTACAGCCCTGGAGCACTGAGATGCACCCTTGGCAGAGACGGGTTCCTCAAGGAGTTCAGTCTCCGATTTGTCCAGTCGAAGTCAGGGTCTATTAAGGATGAGGAGCTGGGGTCCCTGAGTGGGAAGGAGTTCCATCAAGGTCACCCAGCAAACTGGCAGCAGAGCTGGTTGAGCAAGTACAAGGCCGCCTCTAGTCAGAGCCTCAGCACCCACTCCCCACCACGTGCCCCGCAGGCCTCTTCTGTCCTGAAGGTGTGGCCGTCATGCTCACACCAACTGTCCCGGGGAGAGCTGTAGGGCTGTTCAGGATTCGAATCTGGGCCTACTCCTGTTCACAGCCTTGTCTCTGCCCCTCACAGCCTTGTACCCAGCCTTGGCCTCTCTCTGGCCTGTGGAAGTTTCCTTACTACCTTTGTCCTCCTTACCACAGGGCCAGGGCAACAAGGTGAAGAAGCTCTCCATAGTTGTCTCTCTGGGGACAGGAAGGTCCCCTCAAGTGCCTGTAACCTGTGTAGATGTCTTCCGCCCCAGCAACCCCTGGGAACTGGCCAAGACTGTATTTGGAGCCAAGGAACTGGGCAAGATGGTGGTGGACTGTGTGAGTCGGTTTTCTTCCCCAGACCCTTTCCCTCAGGGTCCACCTCTGCCAATGCCCGCACACACTGCCATGTCCGTCCCTGCCAGCTGGCTCTGGGGGACAGCCTGACCAGGTCCCACCGGGGTTTCACATGTCCTTTGACTGCAGCTCTCTGTCTGTACGCAGCTGTGTGGAAGACCAGATGCACAGGGAGGGGATGGGGGGCCCTTTGTCACCGCCCTCACTGCCACTCAGAGGTCCTGAACGGATTCCACACAGTTAGGCCAGTCACCGAGGCCCAGAGAAGTGGACCTGTTCAGATCACTCTGCTGATGAATGACTAGAACCCAGGGATCTCGGAGGGTGGGTAGCAGGGTGCTGTGGCTCGGGCTTATGGGGCCTGTTTTCCTCAGTGTACAGATCCAGACGGTCGGGCAGTGGACCGGGCCCGGGCCTGGTGCGAGATGGTTGGCATCCAGTACTTCAGGTAAGCTTCGGGTCTGGCCTGACTCCACTCAGGCCTGGCGAGCCCCACCCACCCCCATGTCGCCAACAGAGGTCCTTGCCCACCATCACGTGATGAGACTCACTGACACACATAACTGCCAGCCCTTGATCTGGTCTCTCCCAGCTTCAGGGCAGTGCTCTGTTCCCCAGCCCCTCCCCAGCCCAAGTTCTTGTCCCCACCCAGGCTGGGCATGCTGGGTGACCCTCTCCTTTCTCCCAACAGGCTGAACCCCCAGCTAGGCGCAGACATCATGTTGGATGAGGTCAATGATGCGGTGCTGGTCAATGCCCTCTGGGAGACGGAGGTCTACATCCATGAGCACCGGGAGGAGTTCCAGAAGCTTGTCCAGCTGTTGCTGTCACCCTGAGCCCCCGGGCCCTGCTGGCAGGGGTGGGCCAGGTCACCCAACACACTGAGGACCAAGCTGGGCCAGGCAGCTCCGTGTCCACCTGAGGACTGGGGCTCAGCGCAAACAGTTCCCCACAAGGCACCTCTCCTGACCCACCTGCACTTTGCCACTCCAGGCTGAAAGCCCAGAGTCCCCTCAGCCCTCTTACCAAACTGTGAAGGACAGCTGGCTCCCTCAACTTCCCTACATCTCAGTGAGAGCAACACTAAGGTGCCCAGTGTGACCAGAGAGTTCTCCCAGGTTCCCTGGCCACGGCAGCCCACCCCTTCCTCCCTCTTCCTGAAGTCAGGGACTAGAGAAATGGGGTTCCACCCCATCATCAGGTGAAATCCAGGCTATTGAAATCCAACCCCATTTGACTTTGCCCCTCTACACCTGCCAGCCACCCCACCCCTGCAACCACCCCACCTTAAGAGCCCTGCCAGCTCCCAAAGGTCAATTCTGTGCACACACTCTTCTCTGGAAGGAGAGTGGGCAGGGGTTCAAGGCCACCTCAACTGTGAAATAAACGGGTTTAGTATCAAGTTCACCTGTGTAGTGTGTGCTGTAGTAGGGTACTGCGTCCCAACCCCGCTTCCTCAGACACGACCGGGACACCCTCTTCTCTGGCCCTGATCTAACTGACAATGGAGTGGGCAGTTAGTGCCCAACCCATCAGCCCAGGGAAGCTTATGGGAACCTCATTTGAGGCGTGGCAAGGGCAGAAGGTCTGCCCACATCCTGGGTAGTGAGAGAAGAGGGCTGCACTCTGCCCCAGCTCTGTGGGACTCGGGTTCATGTCATCCTTGCTCTGACATTAGGAGGCGGGGAATTAGGGCTGGGGAGGAAACTCAGAGGTGAAGTACTTGCCCGGCATATATGAGGCCTTGGGTTCCATCCCCAGCACTGGGGGCAGGGGTGCTAAGTGGTCAGGGTCCCCCTCAAGGCGTCGGGTCCCAAGCAGAGATGAGGCCTGTCAGAGCAGTAAGTCTTCCACGTGGGTTTAGCTCCAGGATGCGCCAGCTTGCTCCAGCAGGAAGGTACATGTCCAGACCTAGAGGGTGGGCAGGGCTATATAAGGACTGAGGAAGGACTGGGGGCTCCCAGGCACAGGGCCTTGAGTAGGAGGTGACCTGGGAAAGTGGCTCATCCACGCATGCCCACCAGTACACGCCCAGATGGTAAATAATTGAAGGGCCGGTCACAGGAGCCCGCCTGCGTCATAGGATGCCTTCCCCACAGGGTCTGGTTACGCCCCAGATCGCATTGACACCCCCTGGCTGGTGAATAATTAAGCAGCCACCCCCTTCCAGACAGGACTCCATCTGCAGGCCCCGCTCCACAGCTTCCTCGCGGCCTGCTGCCTGAGAAGCAGAGCACTGGGGACCTGTGGAGACTTACCCCAGCACTCCCAGCCCTGCGAGATCCACCGGCCTCCTCAGTTCCAGCGCCACCTTCCATGGCCCCTGAAATGGACCAGTTCTACAGGTCCACTATGGCCATCTACAAGGTGAGCTCATGGGCCATGGCCAGCATGTAGCGGCCAGGTTGGCTCCAGGACAGAGGGAGACCCAGGTGTGGGAGTAGAGGGGCGTCTTTGGGAATTGTATGCAGCACCCTTCCCCATGCATGCCTTGCACAGCCTCACCTGGGAGGCAGCAAGTAGCCAGCCTATTGGATAGATGAGAAACCGAGCCTACAGAGGTTAAACGCTTGTTTAAGGTCAGCAAGGGAAGAGGAAGCACTGCCGGGATTGGAGTCAGGACCTAAATTGGAAGTGTCAGGATTGCCTTCACTGTCCAGTGTTCTCCAGCTGGCCACAGCCCAGGGTGGTGACCCAACCACACTGTGGACCCCAGGGGTCTCTTTGCACATGGCAGTATGCGGGGTGATGTCAGCAGCCCCAGGAATCTATTCTGGTGAGGCCTGGGCACAGGACAGGCTGCACTGTGCCACCAGAATCTATTCTGGTGGCAGCAGATTGCTGGGCTTCATTCAGCCAGTGAGACCAAGACAACTCTGAGGTTCTTCATGTCAGGAGGGAGCAAGCCTCTCAGGGGCAGGTGTGTGGCAGAAGCTCTCTGCCAGGGGCTCCTGGCTTGGGTCTGGCTCCCCAAAGATGCCTCTGAGACTCTGTAGGAGGGAGCCAGGATTCTGGTGACCTCAGAGGTCAAGGCGGACTTCACAGGGCTAGGTGCCTCTGTCCATCTATTTCTTTCCACCATGGCCTGCATCCTTTCCCCCTGGTCCAGAGCATCATGGAGCAGTTTAACCCTGCACTGGAGAACCTGGTGTACCTGGGCAACAACTACCTCCGTGCTTTCCACGGTGAGTGTCTGCTCTGGCGCTCAGCCCCTGCCATCACTGGGACAGCAGCCCACAGCTTAGCACTCCTTCCTAAGTGCTGGGCTCACCCTCAGCCCTAGGTCCCACAACCCACCCGTGTCCCACACACTCCGAGACGCTTTCCACACAGCCCACTCCTCACTAGGTTCCCTGCCCTTAGCTTTACAGTACAACTACCCACACCTTCGTGAGCACACAGGTTCCTGCGGCCCTCCCACAAGACCCATGGGGACGGTCTTCCTCGGCCGCAGACACCTCACCCAAGGGTACCTTCCCCCATCCTGCCACATCTCAGTGTCCCCCTGCACAATCAGGAGCACAGACTGAGCACTGGCCTGACCTTTCACCTCTCCTGCAGCTCTGTCCGAGGCAGCTGAGGTGTATTTCAACGCCATCCAGAAGATTGGGGAGCAGGCCCTGCAGAGCTCCACATCACAGATTCTGGGTGAGGTTCTGTCCTCTTCACCCTCCACCCTCAGCCTCTGCCTACTGTCGCAGCCCAGCTCTTTCCCTATGGCTTTATTTGTTTGTTTTGGTTTTTTTGAGACAGGTTTGAACAGACAGAGTAGCCCTGGCTTTGTAGACCAGGCTGACCTAGAGATGCGCCTGCCTCTGCCTCCCGAGTGCTGGGATTAAAGGCGTGCTGGCCTGGCTTGCCTGTGTTCTTATTGTCTCCTCAGGTCTAGGGCGCATGTGGCCCATGCTCTGGGGTTCATTAGGGCTTCCTTCTGCACATGAGCCTTCCTAGAAGCCCCCACCTCAGCACAGGCCTGTGGCCAATGCTGGGAGTCCCACCTCTCATGTTTGCACCCCACTTCTTCCCTTACCCTCCCTGTAGATCAGAGTTACCAAGTCTTGAGACAGATCCATGTGTGAAATCCTTGGACTTTGGTCCCCAGTCCAGCCAGAAGTGTTCTGACTGGCTTCTGGCACAAGGAAGGCAGATAGAGCAGGCTCTCCACACTAAAGACAGCCCCTCTTGCCTCCAGGTGAGATCTTGGTTCAGATGTCGGACGCTCAGCGGCACTTGAACTCAGACCTGGAGGTGGTGGTGAGTATCAGGCCCCAGGGCCAGCATCGCTGGAGCAGATGGGCGTCAGCTCAAGAATGAGGCCCAGAGGCTGAGGGGATAGGCGCGAGTGGTAAAATGCTTGCTGTGCAAGCCTGAGGGCCTTGGGTCAGGCCCTAGCACCTTGTAAAAGTCCAGGCATGCCTGTAATCTCAGTGCGGGGACGAAGATCCTGGGACTCGCTGACCAGACAGATAGTCTGTGAGTCGGTGAGCTGTAAATAAGTGAGAAACCCTTTCTTGAAAAAAGCTAAGGTGGCCATGGAGGAAGTGACTGCCTGCTACTCTCTAGCTTTCTCATTCATGCACATGTGCCCCCCACATATGGACACATACAATCCCACACATGCCTATACCAGAGAGAGAGAGCACCGGCCCGCTCTCAGAACTCCGACTAGGGTTCCCTTCTTAGACTCCGCTGGCCCTTGACAGTATGAAGGCAAGTTGGCCTGGGGGAGCCTCAGCAAATCAGCTGCCACCGCCTTTTCTGTCCCATTTTTTCGAGGAGCTGAGTCTCAGGGTCTAAGGGGCACTGCCCCCTGTTCCAGAATGAGTGGAGGAGCTGAGAAGAGAAAGGCCTGCAGCACCAGGCCCAGGACATAGCCCTTCCCCACCACGCTCCCCCTCCCAGCTCACATAGCCCTTCCCCACCACGGCTCCCCCTCCCAGCTCCCTGTAGCAGCCATGGGGATCTGAACGTGCCGCTCCATAGTCTTGGAGAGCGAATCCAAGTGCCTTGGCAAAGACCTCAGGCCTGACACACCCAGCAGCCGTCCACTCCCGAGTCCCAGCCCTGCAGTCTGGGACAGGTGCCCCTTCCCCCAGCAGGTTCCGTGCACCCTTTCTTCCTGGCACCAACAGATGCTTCTGTTTGCTCCTAGTACATGAGAGTGAACGCAGGAAGCTAGTTCAGGCTCAGAGCCCGGCTCCACCACTTACTGGTTTTGGTACCCTTGGACTCTGGACCTCAATTTACCTACCTTAAAAAAAAAATGGAGATAATCACATTTCCTGGTAGTACTCCCTAGTGGGGGTAGAATGAATCAATAAATTGAAGCTGTTTACTACGGCTGGGGTTAGAGCTCGGTTAGAGTAGAGTACTTGCCTAGCACAGGTGAAACCCGGGTTTGATCCCAGCACGCCATAAAACGGGCATGGTGGTGTAGACCTAGAACCCCAGCACTTATGAAGCAGAGGCAGAGGGACCAGAAATTCAAAGTCACAGCCAGCTGCATAGTGTGAGACCTTGTCTTAAGAAACCATTTTCCTGGCAGGGTGAGCCCTGGGTTCTTGAGCTGGTCTATGGGCTAATGAGACTTTAATCTGTCTATGCCTGCTCCTCTCGGCTACAGAACCAGCAGAGGCAGGGGTCTTCTTTCTTTGTAGCTCCAGGTCCTGTGGGCTCTAGGCAGGGTTTCCCCCAATGTGGAAGGAGACTGAACCATGGGAAGGGAGTGGAGCGTGCTATTGGAGGAGAGATGGGAAGCTTCCCAGAGGGCGCAGGGGCAGGCAGAAGCAGACAAGAGTCTGGAAGCCGGGCAGAGTGGAAAGTGGGCATATCCTGATGGTGAAGCGGCCTGGGAAGACTCAGAAGGGGATTTTGACAGACAGTTCCTGGTTTCTAACTTGTGGGGGCCTGAATGTTAGGGTACCCTTTGGGGCTCTGTTTGACACAGAGGCCAGTTTTCCTAGTGGAAAATGCCTACGGTACTATGGTGCCAGGACTTCACAGACACTTGGTAGCACAGCACTAAGTCCCCAGCACATGCTTAGACTTGTCCTTGGTTATAGAACTTGGCTCTCTGTGCCCCTGTGGTTCACCTGGGCTGCACAAGTGTCACCCAGACCCACTCTGTAAGGAGAGCTGCCTCTCCAGGTACCAACATCTTGGCTGTGACAACTGGGTAGGGCCCCCAGCCAGAACCACACCAAGCAGGTTGTCCCTTTGGTTCTCCATTCCCTAACGATCCTGGGCACTGTTTGTTGGAGGTGGCTGGGATACAGACAGAAATCTCGCCCTCCCACAGCGAGGCAAGACCAAAAGGACAGCCAGGGACCGTATGTGCTCCACAGTAAACTCAGACCTTGCAGTGGAGAAAAGGGGTACAGGGCAGGGAGCTTTCGGGAGGATTGCAA